GGGAGACTTTCGATTTACGCTTTGGAGACAGAAAGAATTAAGTCTGTGTATGAATGACACCATTTTCAAACTGAACTTTTTTTTTCCCCAAATGGTAAGCAAAGTGAATGTCACTGCTTCTTTACAAGGAAAGTAATTAAGTCTGTTGCTCTGACATGTTAAAAATACTTCAAACAGAATTAATGTAGATACAAAAATTAGAATGGGTCCAAAAGACCAATTACTCTTAAAACACATCTCTTTTCTAACCCCACCTTTTCCAAATTAGGTTTGGGAAATTAAGTTTCAACAAAATTAGAAATGTCACATCAAAAAAAAATAGATCACTCTGAGAGACACGGAAAAGAAACAAAACAATTTCCAACTTTTAAGGGCAGCTTAAAAGGAGTCACAAGGTGCAGCTGAGAGGCCATACAGTACAAGAGTTGGAGGGGCTTCTGAATCAGACTGCCGGGGTTGAGACAGGTCTGCCATTTACCGGCCACCTTGGGTAAGTTACTTAATCTGTCTGTAAAACACAGAAAGAAACAGTATCTACTTCACGGGGCTGTTAAAAGAATTAAATGAGTTAATATTTGCAAGCTGGCTCTGTGGCCCAGTTGTTTGACACCGCCAGATCCCACATGGCTCACTATGTGGTTTAAGTCCTGCATCCAGCAGGTGGAGAGACATCCCAGGGCACAAGTGACAACATGTCCAAAATCCCCAAAGGAGGGAAGAGATGGAGAGGCAACTCCTCATGGGGGGTACTTTATCTACTTTCTCTCTGGCAACTGCATGCACCCTCTAGCATGCAAACACACAATTTGTTCAGTGTTTGAATAATACGTGGAGCCTAGCTAAGTGCAAATAAATTCAAAAAGGTTGAAGTAAAGAACCTGACAAATGTAAAAATCACTACAGTTCCAAAGTCTTTGAGGAGCTTAAATACTACTTGTATTAATATATTCTTTTTAAATGTTCTATTTTGAATAAATTCCATACAAACATAAACTACAGTGACCTTCAAAGAAACATTTAAACACTGTGTTTGAGCACTATTAGCAGCATATAAGGCACTTTCTTTCATATCTGTTATTTTGTTAACTATTTTCAAATGAGTGAAAGTGGACACATGCAATTATTTCATTTACACCAAGTGGTCTGCGGGAGAGGGGGAGGGAAAAATGAAATACTATCTCAGTGTTACTTATTCTGCAGGAACCCAAATAAATATGTACAGTAAGTTTTTATTACCAAATCCAGTATTATTTGAACATGCGAATACAATCTGGCCAACATGCTCTGTGAAATCAATCTGAACCATTTCTAAAACCAGATAAATGGACATTATACTACCGAACTTTTCAGAACACGAGAACACTTAGTTGTATATTGTAAGATCTGTACTGTTTGGGCACAAACGCTGTTTAGCCAACGCCACAGTGAACTTGGTGAGAAGCAATATGAGGTTAAGCCTAGTTAAAACTTTAGAATCCATTTGTTCTCTGTTAAGTCTAACTGAAAATGATAAAGCAGCTTTCAAAAGCCCTTACTGAAAACCTTGCCATAATCCTCCGACTAGCTGAGTAAAGCAAATGGTCAAGGAGCTCAGGCCTGGATGCACCACCATGAAGTGTCAGGTTGTCTGAGGTGGCAAAGATTTCTCCCATCTTTCAGTCATGATGGGTCACTGGGAGACTGCTATCTACTTCTCTGCTAGAAGGCTGGAAATAGCTCAGATAATGCTGATGCAAAAACAAAACACACACACACACACACACACACACACACAAAGAAAGAAAAAAAAAAGAAAGAAAAAAAAAGGTTGGTATAAGGATATTTAAAATTCATTTTCTTTTCGAGGTACTTGCTTGAGTTTCCCAAGCATTACCATAACAAACATTTTTTTTTAAAAGTTAAACAACGGTTAGCTTTTGCTGCACATAAACATACTTTTGCTTGATTGCAGTTTCTTTTATTAGCTTAATTATGGACACAAAGTGGTCTGGAAGTGGTTAGCAATTCCTATTAGTTCTTAAGTGGGAATATAAAGTCAGGGGGGAAAGGCCCGGCCTCTCAACTAAGGACTGTCTTACTTTGCTTCAAGTTTGCAGAGTTGGCAAATAAGCTGCCGATGGGCACAAAACAAAACAAACAGACAAACAAAACCCCCAGGCGGTTACTAAAGTACACTGTGGAGAGAGAAGTGTCCCGCGAGCCACGCACTAGCTCTGATCTAGATGGGACACAACCTGACCCCAGTACCTGTTCTCTGCGCTCTCGGGTCGTAAAGCGGAAACCAGCAGCAGGACGCATGCAGAAAAGACTTCGGGGAGCGCTGCGGCCAGGGAGCTCCGCTCGGTCCCGACCGAGGAAGAGGAAGGCACGACCTCCCTGCCGCGGCCGCC